AACATTTAAATAGTAATAAAAGACTTCTTCCCCCTCTTTACCAGAGCCTCAAACTCAGTTTTACAAGAATACTAATAAACTTTCAGGGAACAGATAATCCTTACTTTACAAAGTTGTTGCAGAAAATAGAAAAAGGAGAAATACTGTTTAATTCACTTTATATGATTAGTATAATCATGGTTCAGTAAATTATAGTCCTGTTTAGTTTATGAATTTTAATGCAATTATCTTGAATAAAATATTAACTTACTGAATCCAACAATCTATTAAAAGTACTACAACATGGTCAAGTTAAGCAATGCAAGGATGGTCTAATATCAGCAAGTTTATCAATGCAATTTACCGCTATAGTGGAGTGAAGATAGAAGGAACGTGACTATCTCGATAGATGCAAAAACAAACCACTTAATAACTTTCAAAACATTTCTGATGAAAACTCTAAAATAGCCTTCTCAAAGACTACAGCAAACATTATGCTTAAATGGAGAAAAGTTCTAAACTTTCCATATAATCCTGGGAACCACACAAGAATGCCCGTGATTAAACCTGACTACTGTTTAATGTATACTGGAGGTCATAGCCAATCAAGTAAACACAGAAAATAAATAAGACGCATCAGTATTGAAAGGAAAGAGAACAAAATATTATTTACAGCTCACAAAATCATTTACATAGAATTTGCAATTCAATTTACAAGAGAATCAACAGGTAAACCAGTAGATCTAATGAGAGTATAAACATGTTGCTACTACTATAGCCTGCTAGAAATGTAATAAAACATGACATAATTTATAACCAAACATAAGAATTAATTTAACAGAATATACAAGACATCTATGGTGAAAATGCATGATTCCATTAAAGAACAAAAAAGATAGACCTGAGTAATGTGTATGCATGGGAAAACATCACAGGCATGTCAAGTCTCCTCTAATTACTCTACAAATTCATTGCAATTTCATTCAAAATTCCAGCAAGATATTTTGAGCAACTTAACATATTTATTCTAAAATGTGTATGGAGGAATCAAGGTCCACAAATAGCTAAATCAGACTTGAAAAATAAGAGATGCTAAATCAGCCTTATCCTACCAGACAATAAGACATTACAAAGCCAGGGTATTAGAACCATTGTGATACATTATAAAGGAAGAACCATAAATCAGAGGGGGTAAAATGAATTATTAAGCAGGTTGAAATGGGAAAATTGTCTCAATATATATGGAGCAATACAAAGTTGGATTCTTACCATATACACAGATCATATATTCTAACCATATACACAGATTTATCATTTATTCAACAAATATTTGTTGAGCATCTAGTATGTGTGAAGGACTTTTCTAGACACTGGGGATATGTCAGCGAAAAAGGCAAAAGTCCTTGCCATCATTAAAACTCTAACTGTAGAGGGTAAAAGTATAAAGCTAGTAGAAGAAAATATAAGATGATTTTTTTCGTGATCTTGGAGTAGGGAAGGGCTTATAAAATAAGAATCAAAAAAGCACTTGATGGGTTTGATTACAACATAATTAAATGAGTATACTTTACGACCCACGCATATAGCCCAGAGGAACTCTCACACTTCCATAAAGAGACTTGCACAAGGTTGCCCATCATGGTGTTGTTCCTGGTAGCAGTTTTGGAACCAACTTAGCTGTCTATCCCTAGAGGAATGGATAAGCAAAATGTGGTGGATGAACACTATGGAATACCATCCGTCAGACAGAGGCACTGAATTAGATGTACACTCAACAATATAGAATAGAACCCAACATGACATTGAGTGAAAAAAGTAACAACAGAACTGGAGCAATAGCACCACATCATGTATGTAAATGTAAAAGATATATATTCACAACCAAGACTGTATATTCTATAAGGGCGCATACATACCAAGTGCATATATCAAATGGTATAGAGCTGGTTCCATTGGAATTCCATTGAATTAGGGATGAAGGGGAGAAAAATGAAATAAAACGAAAAGAAAAGTCCCGTGTGGATTTATGGTGATAGTGAGTTAAGAACTAAGGAATGTGATTAACTCCACTCTCCATGCCTAAGTCAAAAAGAGAAAGAGAAAGAGATTTTTCTCACTGTTAAGAGATGAGAATAGAATCCAGTGATCCTTGAATTGGAAGGTATCTTAGCAGGCAGTCTAATTTCTTCTTGGGACAGGAATCATTTCTCCCACATTCTTGGAAAGTATCACCCTCCACTTGAACTACAAGAGGGCAGACTGTTAGAGCATAGGATAGCTCTAGCAGGTTCAGAATTCTTCTTGTATTGGGCTAAAACTGCCCTCCTATAAACACCAACCATTGGTCTGAGTTCTACTGTCTGGCATTGCACCTGGTGAGTCTTCACCCTCTTTCACAGAACAGCATTTCAAACACTTGGAATAGCTGTTGTAATTGATTGTCTTCCCTCTTCCAGGCCCATATACCCAGATCTTTCAGCTGTTCTTCACATGACCGGTTCAAAGTCTTCCAAAAAATTTCAGGGATTTATAGCTTGACCTCAACATCAGCTATTAAATATGGCTGGCTTATTTGAGAAATGTACTGAAATCCCACTGGGGACCAAGCATCATGCAAGGTGCTATGCATGGGTGCTCAGAAAAAAGGAAATGACTTCTGTGAGAGTTATAATTGACAGATCTTGAACTAATAGTCTGGTTCTACTGGATTTTGAAATGTATAAATCTCTGCCATCCAGAATGAGTGACCATATTTTATATATTGATTTATTCAGCCTTTTATTCAAGAAATATTCACTGAATATATGTTCTGTGCCAAGGACTGCAGTAGGCTCTGGAAACTGGAACATGCTTTTTTGTACCATAGAGAATCAAAGACCTAGGACAAAACCCTGGGGAGCAGGCCTGCTTCTGGTGTCCTTTGCTGAAGCAGCCAACAGGATTTGGCTCCCCCAGCTCTCTGAATATGGCTGCATTTCATTACTTCTCTACTTGGTAGTAGCTATGTAATTCTGTGACCCATGACTTCAGGATGGCGCACACTTTGGGATTCCATCCACAATGTCTGTTCATGTTGTCTGCAAGTCTAGAGTTCCTCTCTTTAATAAATTTGAAAGATAAGGCCAGTGAGGTGAAATGAATCACTATAGTTTGAAGATGGGTAAGAGAATGGGCAATGAATTTGGTACATTCCACACTAAACACATCTTTATTAAAATTTTGAGCTAGCAGAAAAATTCAAAGGGCCTTAGAACCAATTCAACAAACCCTTCAGGGGTCTGCTTCCAGTCAGTAACTTCTATGAACTGGACATAGCTCTGTATAGCACACATTTCTACACCCTGTGGAGGATACAAGGGAGACTCAACCATACTTTGGTAGCACTTAAAACCTAGTTGGGAACAAGAAGCACACATAGGAGAATATCTTTAAAATCTCCACACATATCACTGTACAGAACCACATCCATGCTGCTGAAGTGGTTGGTGCACAAATGAAATTAGGCAAAATCAAGGACAACGTGTGTTCAGAGAAATGTTGGGCAGGAAAATCAAGATTAGAAAGAAGGAGAAAGAGCTGGAAGGTGAGTAGCCCAGGCCGGAGGGAGAAGGGCACACGAGTGGGTCAGGGCCCCCACCTTTACCAAGACCAGTATAGACAGGTGCAGAGAATGTATTGGCTGTTTTGGGAGGCTGGGACCCTGATCCCTTGCTGATGCTGTATACATCTCCATCACTCCAGGACTCCTCAACTCCACCAGACACAACCAGGCTTAGCAGAGAGGCTGGGGCTGTGTGTATCACCCCACTCAGCCACTTGTTTTATAGATGAAGAAATGGAGACCTAGAGAGAGAAAGAGGTTTGTCCAAAGATGGCCACAGGACTGGAACACAGGCTCCTAAGTCATGGCTAAGTGTGATCTCTTCTGTATGAAGCTGTCCCTCTGACTGCCTGGTCAGAAGGAGGATGTCAACCATGATGTAGTGGTAGTACCTTTAACAAGTCAAGGAAATAAGTTCAGGCTGTCCTATCCCAAGAAAGAAGAGTGAGAGGGGAAAAGACGTTTCGAAGCTCCTCGTGATGTATGCATAGGAGGCAGGGACATGGGGAGTGATTTCTCTGAGGCTGGTGGACAGAACATCTTCACTCTCCCAGACCAGGAGAGTCTGGATTGTCCCCTAAAGGTCAGCCTTCCAGACCGACACTTGCAGGAGAAGCAGGGTCACCAGTGAGAGCTGTCACCCATCCCTAATTGCTTTGTCCAGAATTCTTATCTTCAAGGCAAGACATCCACATAGTCACTGTTCCCTGGGGGAAAAAAAGAAGACCAGCCATGAGGCTCAACACCCAGGAGTCACCTCCACCAACCATACCCAAAGGAAAGAAGACCTCTCCCCAGCCACAGGGTGATCTTGATGCCACCTCAAAGTGACATTTTCAAGGACATTACCACAGGGAGCTCCCCTGGCAAAATAGGGGGAGGGGGGTCTCTTAATAAGTCAAGCATCAGAGTTTCCAACAACAGATGCCTCCATTCGCCAGCAGAAAACCTGTACCTCCCTCAGAGTGAGAACATCTGAAACTTGTTCTACAGAGGCCAAGGGAAGAGGAGGAAGACAATGAGGCTGATAGGATGTTTCCCCCGTGATAGTTGAGGATTTGAGCGCTTACTCTGCCAGGGCTGACCAAGCATAGACAATTGGTGGGGTGAGGCTTTGTCCCAGTTCTTGGGAAAGAGCTGTAAAGGGTTCTCCTCTTGGGATTTGTGATTATTTTATCAATGCAACCAGGGTGCAAATACTACTACCACCCTAAGCACCCTCAGCAACTCATCTGGGTTTGCCTAAGGGCTGCAGCACAGGAACATTCCTGGGTTTCTAGCTCTGCCCCCTTTAATACTTTTGTTTTCTATAAGTTTTGGTGGAAAATGGCCATGGGACTACATCTGTAGCTGAGCCTATAGGAAATGACTTTGTGTGTACATGGGTGCACAATCCCCCGCATGGGGAGGGAGGGGGACAGAGAAACAATGGTAGAGGAGGAGTTTTTATTTTAGTCATTAAAAAGCTATTCTTAGTCTGTTGGGGAGGTGAGAAGCTGGCTGTGGCAGCCTAAAAGGCGACTTCGTTGTAGACAGGGTAGAATGTGTGTGGGGTGACTGCAGGCTCCCCAGAACTCTCTGTCCTCTGCCTTTCTCCCTAGCTAGCACATCTGCTCCCATCACCATCACCTGCCCACTGATAACTGAAATCCCTTTAACTGGGAGTATAACCGTACATCCCATAGAGTTAGATCGTAAATGTCTCAGGAAGTCTGAGTTAAATTCAAACTAGGCTGTAACTGACAGATACTAGATTATTTTCTGAGAGCAGATTCAAGGGCTGTGGGTAAGCAAGAGCAGCTGCTCGTGATATGATTTGAGAGGCCTCAGCATGGATTCTCTGCACTTAAATTTACTGACCGTCTCTCATTTTCCACCATGGCTTAATACCTTTAGGGACATATCTGAAATAATTTGTCCCCTAACACTATATAAATGAATGCTTAGCAAATGTTGAGCAAAATGTAACAGGATAAGCCTTGGGTTAGGGGTTGAAGCGATTTTCTCATTTGAAAATTATGCCTATTTGTCCATCTATACCCAAACCTGTGTGGTTTGCACAAGGTCACAGAATGAGTTTGAAGTCAGCTCTTCCAGAGGGCTCAGGAACCACTCTTGTTCCCCTGCTATCTACACACAGAGAGCTCTGTATGTTGGCCACCTTCAGGGGCTCAAAGATACCACTTCCCAACAAGGTGGAAAGTGCTCTCAGTAGGTGAAGCCTTTTAGAGATGACATAATAGAAAAGGGCATTTATCTGTATTGATTCTACAAAGTAGGCCAGTGGTGGAAATGGGACTAAGGTTCCTTTCTGATCCCTGGGTAAGAGTTTTTACCATAATTATCTTCCAACTTTATCTTTGATCTTCTCCACCTCAGGCAGGGGCTGGTTCTCTTTATTGGCTTTGAAAGGTGAACCACCAGCCCTTGATTTGGTTTTTCAAATTTGGAGATCAATTCCTTTAGGTTTGGAAAGATCTGTTTTCGAGCACCTTCCACAGTCTGCAAAATACAAGAAGGAGATCACTCGTCATGGTGCAGTTATGTGTGAAAAGTGACACTTCTCAAAACAGTGGTTTTCTGGGTGGCCTCTGAGCTAGCAAACTGAAAACAAGTGCCTGGCAGTTCATGCTTAAGATCTCACACCAATTGCACTACACAGAAACCCTTGTTTTTAAGACGACCTCTGACTTGAGAGCTACTCTGAGTAAAGAGGATTAACAATCAAGGAACCATCTCAGTCTGCAGTATTGAGTGAGCCCCCATCCTTGAAATGCCCCTCCGTGTCTGAGTAATAACTGATTTGGAGGTCTCTCTGTTTTGTCCAGATAAGAGACAAAAAAGGGTATTAAGGAATTATCCAGAATTTCCCAAAGTCTGCACAAAAAAGAAATAAATATTTTAAAATAAGTTGCTTTTTAGAACACATTTTATTTTGAAATAATTTCAGACTTGAAAAGTTACAAAAATATTTTTTAAAATTGCCATCTATATGCTTTACCCACACCCCAAATGTTATTTTATTATATTTGCTTTTTATTCTCCCCTTCTAAATATATATAAATGTCTATGTGCATATATATACATATCTATGTGCATATATATATATATACATAAAATATTTTTTTCAAAAAAACCCTTTTAACCCTAAACACTTCAGTATTTCGTAAAAAGCAGGGACATTACATATCCACACTATAATGATTAAAATAAGGAAACTGATCTTGATGCAGTACTATATTTACTAATCTATAGACCTTATTCAAATTTTGTCAATTGCCTCAATAATGTCCTTTTATAGCAAAAGACAAATTTTATATCTATCTCTCTGGGGATCATTGTATATTCTAATCTCTTTCAGATATTCACAATGAACATTTATATTTAAGATTCTGAGAAATCTTGCAGTAAAAAATCTACTTGACCTTGTGTGCAAATGTTTCAGAAAGATTTCAGGATTCTCTGTCAGTTATTAAAGAGTCAATCACATTTATTATACTCTACTCCCTAAGCCAGAGAAGTAAATTAAAAAGAAGCAAAAAAGTTTTTCTGATTAGCTCTCAGTAAACCAGAAAAATTAAAGAAATCTCTAAGACTGCCGGTTGACTGCTGCTTCCCTTTATATTTTCATACAACTATGGAGCCCACTTGACTTCCTAGACTTTCAGACCTCTCCCCACCTTCTACCCCCATCCTGGACAATGTTTAGTTTTCTAATTCAGCAGTGGTCCTACGTGGAAGCCAGGTTGGTGCATTTGACCAACGGAGGAACCAGGGTTGTGTACCTCTACACTTTTGAATAACAGCTTTGGTTATTCAAAAATGGGACCAAACTCTAGTGCCTTCCTATGTCTCTCAGAGAAAGACAAGGTTAACTATTGATCTGACTCTAACTCTGCACGGTGCTTCCCTTTTTAGAATGCCTCCACATGGCCACGTCTCAGATTCAAGATATCATCTCAGGTTCTGCCCTCTCCACTTTTTGTCATTGTTGTTGTTACAGGAGTTCTTGTTATGTTCTTACCTGTATATTGTAATACCCATATGTCTCTTTGAAGATTCGGTATGTGTAGACGAAATTTTTAAACCTGTGGAAAGATGACTGTGTGAAATCATATTGTTCTTATATGCAAATCCAGGTAACATCTACCATTATATACCATTATATTTTGTCAGTCTTGGATCCCAAAAAGAAACTGATCATTTTCATGCCTTCTCATCAGTGAGAATGTGAAAGAGACAGAGGTTTTGAAATGAGGACCCCTGTTCTAACGGTGGAAGTCTGGGCTGTAGCAAAGAGGATAAGGAGAGAGAATTTACAATTTCCATGGTCTTGGTATTTCTCTCTAGTTTTTTCACTGAGCTCTAAGTTGATACAATAAACAAAACACCATTGAGCCATTCCGATATTGTTTATTAAATGGTGTCATTGACCTAATTAGAGCTAGTTAGTGTAACTAAAATAGAGAATGTTGGGAATTTTATCTAAGGAAGCGATTGTGCTCTTGTTCCTCATTGGAACAGGAACCATTGGCTAAGTAATCTAACCAGAATTTAGATAACAGATCCAATCTAGCAATTTCCAAAGCAAGAAATAGCATACCTTACCATTTTTCTTCAATTTCAATGTGTCATCAATTGTAAGATACAGTATCAATTTAATAATAGCTTTTCCAGGAGAAAAATGCATGTATTAACATAGGCTATATGATCGCTATCAACTGTTAAACATGTTCTGATTCCACAGAAATATTAAAATGTAAAAAATGAGAATCAAATACATTGACATGAGGTTCAAATTATCTGATTGATCTCCCCCTACTTGCACCCATGCCAAAGAATCAAATGACTAATCTTTTGACTGAATTGGGAAGTCAGATAGCTACGTATAGCGTTAAGGTACAGGAGACTTCATCGCTGAGTTAGCAATTGACTTCAAATCCCAATTTTTTTGTGGAGTTTCTTGAGGCCAGAATAAGCCAGCGGATATCCCCAAATCACATGGAAAGCAACAAAATGTTTTACATGAGTCCTTGTCCACATGTGACAAAGTATCCTGCAGTCTGGGAAGAAGCCTCAAAAATGTCTTTTCACAGAAATATTGTTCAAGTCAGGATCAAAACAAGGTCCATACATTCCATTTGGTTGATCACATAGTATTTTTTGTGTGTGTGCGCGTGAGCAAGATTAGCCCTGAGCTAACATCTATTGCCAATCCTCGTCTTTTTGCTGAGGAAGATTGGCCCTAGGCTAACATCCATGCCCATCTTCCTCTACTTTATATGGGACGCCACCACAGCATGGCTTGACAAGTGGTGCATTAGTGTGCCCCTGGGATCTGAACCAGTGAACCCCAGGCCGCTGCAGCAGAGTGCGTGCACTTAACGGCTGGGCCACCGGGCTGGCCCCTGATCACATAGTTTTTTGAAAGCCAACTATCATATAGCCTATGTTAAATTCTTCAATAAATGACTTTATTTTTAATTATATTGTTGTATTATCAGCCTGAGAAAATCTTCACTAAAGGAGAATGAAAGAATAAAACAAAAGGAGGTTCTATGTTAATTAGTCCAAAAGCCAAATATGTCAAATTATAAACAGACATTGCTGAAATATGGTCTTATTCTTTGCAAAGTATTTTTAATGAAATAACAAGCCACATTGCCACAATGCTTTACAAGAACTTGTGATACCTATATGCATTTATTTGGGAATATTTACCAAAAAACAATATAAGAGATTACAGAGCAGTGAGATTAGTATCCATTCTATATGACTATGGGATTATTTGGTAAACGTAAAAATTTATTTTTAATGCTCCCTGTTCTAATTATTATTTTATAAATGCCATTTACAAAACTTTTAAGAGAAACATGACTTTTCAGCATGCATTTACACTAAAGAGAGGTAAAAAGACCAAGCTTCCCCTAGGCCTACTGACCGCATCGCCAGTGGGGATGGGGTGCACCCTCCTTACCCCCCAACACTTGCAGTCTTGCTTCCACTTTCTCTGCCTTGAATCCACTGGAGTAATCTCTTCATGGCCTTTATCCCTATTTGTCAGTCACTTACAAGCACCCCAGTATCGCAGGTCATCTTTTTCTCCTGTTTTCTAATCCTACAACGCTCTGTATAGCCTCTGTTGTGTCCCTTTCTCTCCAACTCCTGAAATCTTTCCACTGTGCTCTCTGGAACTCAAGGTCCACCATTATCAAAGTCCCCTATATCTTTAACTTGTTCTCTAATCATCCCTGTCATTTTATTGCTCTAAAAGAAACCCAGCTCTGGCCCGCAGACACCGCTTCCCCTGCACCCTCTAAAAGGCTGCTGCTTTTTCCCACGGCCCTTTTGACTACAGGGTCTAGCAGTGAGGCCAGTATTCTCCTTGGTCTATGGTTCTTCACTGTTGTTTCCCTTCTTCCTCCAAATCCTCAGCTTTGAGTTTCACATCATTAGATTATATCACCTACTCCCTCTCATTACTGCTGACATCTCCTGATCCCTGGGTTATTGCCACTCATTTCTCCAGATTTTAGCTCCCAGCTCACTGTCACTATCTTCAATACTATTCCTGCCTAAATCTTCAGCAATTTCAATGCACACGTAGATTAGCCTTCAACATTCCAATCTCTCAGTTCCTTGAATTCCTCTCCTCCAGTGTTCTTGTCCTCCACCTATATCAGCCACTCACTCCCGTGTGGACGACTAGGACTGGCTACATAATTTGTGGGGCCCAGGGAAAAATGAAGATGTAAGGCCCCTTGTTAAAAAATTATTAGGAATTTCAAGGCCGTGACAGCAAAGTGTTAAACCAAGTGCAGGGCATAGGTTGAAGCTAGCCCTCCTTGTAACATTGACCTTGTAATTGCTAGTAACTGCAATACTTTCATAATGTGAATTTCATGTATCCCACTTTGTTTTCCTGACTTCTCATCTTTCCAGATCCTTCCTCTAGTATGCTGACCCCAACAATCCCTTGATATCATAGACCCTCCAAACCTTTGATCCTACCACTTTTCAGGGTTTCTCACATGTTTTCACTCCCTTCTTTACGCAGCCTAAATTGCTTGTCCACCATTATAATCATTCCCTTATATACTCCTTTACCATCTTTCACTTTATTTACTCAAATATTTAGCAAAACCAAAACCCTGATTAAGCCCAACTCTCTACAGCTGTATGTGGCTGGGGAGAAACATACAACTTTGTTGCCTGGCCTCACTTTAGATTTGACCACAAACCTCAAGTGGGCTCTTGCCCTTTAGGCACTAATTTACCTTCACATTCTCAACAATGATTCTACACCATCTCCTTTCTTCTTAAACCCTCAACGCCTCACTCTTAACTCATGATTTCACTGAGAAGATTAAAGCAATCAGAAGAGAATTTCCAGATTCCCATCACCACACCTATTTGCATCTGCATTTGTATACTCTGCCTTTACTAGCATAGATGAACTTCGCATGTGGCTCTCTAAAGCTAATCCCTCCTATTTCCACTGGATGCCATCTGCTTTCATCTATTCAAGGACAGAGTTCTAGCAATTTTTTCCTCTTTCTCTGACATCATTAATTATTATTCTTTACACAACAGCTGGAGTGGTCCTTTTAAAAATGTGAGTCAGAGTGAGGTCTAAGATGGTAGCGTAGGAAGATCTTGAACTCATCTCCTCCACAGACACACTGAATCTACAGCTACATATGGCTCATTTCCCTCTAAAGAAGATCTGAAAACTAGATGAACTGCTTCTCCAAAACAAGGGATAGAAGGACCATGTTGAGACAGGTAGAAGAGGCAGAGACATAGTAAAGGTAGTAGATTAATCACTTATAAAGCTACTATGAAGGTTAAAGGACAAACGTAGTAAAATTAATTAAAACTATAATAATTAGTTAAGGATACATACAATAAAAAGATGTAAAATGTGACATCAAAACCAAAATGTGTGTGTGGGGTAAAAATGTAGAGTTTTGGAATGTGTTTAAATTTAAGTTGCTATCAACTTAAAATAGACTGCTATATATGTAGGATAATATATGTTAACCTCATGGTAACCACAAAGTAAAAGCTTATAGTAAATACACAAAAGAAAATGAGACAGGAATCTAAACATAACATTAAAGAAAATAATCAAAACACAAGGGAAGAGATAAAAAGAAGAAGAAAGGAAGTGAGAGGAACTACAAAAACAGCCAGAAAACAAATAACAAAATGGCAATTAGTACATACCTATCAATAATTACTTGAAATGTAAGTGGACTAAATTCTCCAATCAAAAGACATAGATTATTTGTTTAACTGCTAGTCACATATTGCCGATCATTAACCTATACCATAACCAGGCTATTGTACAAAGGCCACAAAGACGTGTTTTAACATGTATCAGCAGGTTCTCAAATCTGATATGAAACTTTGCTGACATTGGAATGAGTTATTTCTCAGGAACCAAAAGGGTTGAGGAGGCCATCTGAGACTGAAACGTGTTTTTAAGGAAGGAAATAACGTCAGACCCTGTGGGCAGAACAGAAGATGAGAAGTCCGGAGAATTGATGCCAGAAACAGTCTGACGCCTCCCTATTCTTCCCTCCTCCCTACGTAACTGCCTCAAGATTTTGTGCTTGCTTAAGATGGTCTGTGGGATGTGAGTCCACCAACTTCCAATTTCGCTAGCTAATTGAATAAATCCCTTTCTTGACCACCAACTCATATTGCAATTGATTGGCATCACATTGTGGCAAGCAGAGCGAGCCCTTGCTCAGTTACAGTTGAAAGGATAAAAAATCAAGACTCATCTATATACTACCTACAAGAGACTCACTTCAGAAGTAAGAACACATTAAAACTGAAAGTGAAGAGGTAGAAAAAGATATTACATGCAAATGAAAATGAAAAGAAAGCTGGTGTAGCTATACTTATATCAGACAAAATACTTTAAAACAAAGACTATAATAAAAGACAAGGGCATTACACAATGATAAAGGGGTTAATCCAGCAAGAATATATACATTTATAAATACACATGCACCCAACATAAGAGGACCAAAATATATAAAGCAAATATTAACAGACCTAAAGGGAGAAATTGACA